TCCTCCCTCAGACCCGGGGTCCTAGTCCCCAGCTCTCTGCCCCCTGTTCTGGGCTCTTACCCCTCACTCTGAGTTCTCCTTCTCTGACAATCCTTTGCTGCCTTTTGTGAAGCTGGTCAAAGTCTTTTCCTGAAGAGGGAAATCAAGACGATTTAGGGGTGGAGGACAGAGGCAAAACAGTGGCTGATAACATAAGATGTCACATGAGGTTCTTTTACACAGGACTCTGAAATGCTGGGCAAGGAAGCCACGAGAAAGTAGGAGCAGAGTCTGCTCTGGGGGCCTGAGCAGTGACGGAGCTCACCTGCCTGGCAGAAAGAGCTTTGGGGTCACATATAATCACTGTCCCAAGGTCAGGTCAGCTGGGGTGCAGCACGGCCCACCAGAGACAGGACAGGACGCGGGAGTGTCCAGGGGTGTGTAGCAGGAGGGACTTTCCTTTCACCCCTTCAACTGCATTCTCAAATCTTAACTCTGCTCAGCTGAAACCCCTCCCCACTGCTCAGATACAAGGGCAGGTGTGGCCTGGAGTGAGGCCCCAGGGTGGGGCAGGGCAGGATTTCCCCTATGCCCAAACTCAGCCATGGAAAACACTATTGTGCTGTTGTAAAGAAACATTCTGGGGCCTCCCTGGTGGCACAATGGGTTAAAGCGCAGCAGCACTCAGCCAGGGAGTGACCCACAGGGCACAGCAGGCCACTCCTGACCTGCCCGCTGCTCCCCTCAGCAGTGTGTTTCAGTAGATCTATCTGTCTCTGGGGACTCCTCTCACCCACCCACCCCCGCACCTCTGGCCTGTACCCCAGCTCTGTGTGCATAAATAAATAAATCTTTAAGGAAAAAAAAGACACTGTACTATGGTGATGGCACATGGGTGATTTAGTGATGGGAAACCCAAGGGGATTGCAACTGAGATGGAAAAAGGCACAAAAATATGTAAAAATAAACTAATATAATTAAAAAAGAAAGAAAGAAAAGAAACACTTGGTGAAATAAGCCAGAAGGAAAGAGGAAAATATCGCAGGTTTTCCTTATAGAAGGAGTAGGGGAACCAGGTAAGGGACCAGGAAAGAAATAACTATAATAAATTAAAAAAGCAAACCTAACAGGTAGCTATCAACCTGAGACCTCTGCAGGCGAGGGGAGGGACTGTGTCCTTGCACAGGGACAGGGTGGTGGCACACAGCTGACCTGGTGCTGGAAATTCCAAGGGGACTACACCCGGGAGGAGAAAGCCAACATGGTGAAATGGACAATAACGGAAAATATTTACAAACAGACTGTTTTAACAGAAATAAATAAATAAAATAAATAAATTAAAGGGGGGAATCTGGACACAGCGGAAAGAAGAAACACACATTCTACACAATCCACATTCACGGCCCTGAAGTCTAGGATGAGCCAAGGGTCCTGTTCACTAACAACCTCCCCCCCCCCAGTGAAATTCACATTTCACTCTAAACATTCTACTTATACCCCAGACAGAATTTAGTATAATTTGACTTTCATGGACTTACTGAAGCAAATTCACCAGCAAAGCTTTCAAAAATCTTTCCGAATGCAAGCACAGCCATGTCTGAAAACTGAATTGCCATTGCGAGGCCAGGTCCAGTTCTGGGGCGCGCCCCGGGGCCTGCAGGGCCTGGTTCTCACACACATACTGGGCTCCAGGCCCCCCCCCCACCCGCTGCCTTGGCGAGAGATGCAGGGCCTCCCCCTGCAGGCTCAGCCTTGAGCCCTTCACCTGTGCCCTTTCCTGCTCAAGCTCCGGGCCTCTGCTCCAGTGCCACCTCCTCCAAGAAGCCCTCCTGGATGCCCACTCTAGAGAGCAGCCCCCCATTCCTCAACCAGGTTCCCTGGCCCTGCCAAATCCGGAAGCCCACAACCCACAGGGCCAAAGCAATGGAACTGAACAACAGGCTATGAACCTTCCTACCAAGGTGGGCACAGGGCCCCATTTTATCGCTGTCCCCCCTGTACTTTGGACTTGCCACTCACCTCCACCAGCTGATGCCAGTGCTCCACGGGCTTGCGGGGGTTGGCCAGCATCTCAGCCCAGTGCTCCCGGCCGTGGGGGTCGGCGGCTTCTGGGCCCACGCGGCACACACCGATCACCTCGTTGTGCCCAATGCTGGGGGCAGGGGGTGTCAGGGGCGGAGCTGTGGCGGGCCCGCCCTGCCCCCCACCTGGCCTCACCCCCTCACCAGTCATAATCTACCACGGCGATGCTGAGCCCCACATTCTCCACGCTCTCGGGGGCCACGTCGAACACGAGCGCCTCGTTGTACGTGGGGTTCAGCGTGTTCTTCTTGATGGAGGTTTTTCGCTTCTTCAGACGCCGCCCCTCGCTGATCAGAGAGGCCTTCACATAGGGGTCTGGGGGAGGGGAGGGGGCGTACTGAACCCCAACCTCCACCCTCACACCTGAGTCCAGACCCATGCCTCTGGTCAGACAGGTCGGCAGGTGTGGGTCATCGCTTCTCCTGCCCCCTCCTTCCTCGGACTCGGAGTCCAGCCCCCACCTCTCGCCTAGTCGGGCCCACTGACCCCTCCCTCCTCCCCCCCAACCTGGAGTCCAGGCCCCGCCCCTCCCAGGCCCGGCTCCAAGTCCCGCTCCTCCCCCGACAGGGGTCCCCCAGGAACCCACCCGAGAAGCCAGTGAGGTCCATCGCTTTGAGGTTAGAGGCTTTGATGATGGTCACGGTGAGGCGCCCGGCCGTGGGGAGGTAGCAGAGTGAGAAGTTGAGCTCCCCAAGGTCTGCCTTTTCCTGCAGTGGGTGAAAGGGGGTCAGCGCTACCCTGCCTGGTCTCCCCCCAGCTCTCCTTTTCCTGACATACGGGGCGCAGGCTCCCACACCCCTCACAACCCAGCTCTGGGTCAAATATTGTCCTCAGGGGAGATGGAAAGGGCAGAGCCGGCACAGGGCAAGAGGCCCTGAGAGGGACCAGGCCCCTGGAGGAAGTCCCTTAACCAAGGAGCGCTGGAGTGACCAGGAGAGACAGAGACTGGAGGGGGGGGAGGGTAGCCGACAGCTGCCCCCTACAGCTCCTAGCAGATGCTCGCCTGGGGGCCCCATAGCCCTGGCCCCTGACAGCGAGTGATGGCCACCAGGCCTGGAGCTCAGGCGATGGCCAGGGGCCCCCAGAGGGGAGGGAGTAAGTGAATGAGAGGAGCCTGAGGGGCTGGGACGTGGGGAGACAAAGGTGCTCGCAGGGAGCAGCCCGGGTGGGGCTCCGTGGGCAGTGAAGGCCCCAGAAACCGGCCCTTGGTTCTCAGAGGCGGGGTTTGGGGGGTGGGGGAAGGGCACCGAGGAAGAGCCCAGGCACCCCGCTCAGCCATGACGTCACAGGGGACACCGAGGCTGGAGACAGGAAGCCCCTCAGCAGGGGCAGGAGGGCTGAGCCCACTCACCCCACACGCGGCCCCAACACCCGCCACGGCCCCAGGCGGGCAGAGCTGGAATGTTCTGGACAGTGGGGAAAGGAGGAAGGGGGCCGGTCTGGGAGAGGGGCCCCTTGTGGGCCCCACCCTCTGGAGCCTGGGTGCACTGGGGGTGTCAGGATCTCAGGGACCCCACTGTGTGTGAGGGCTGGGGGATCAGACTAGCAGGGGGTTTGGTTAAATGAGTGCTCGGTGTTGAGGAGTGAGAGGATGCTCGGCATGGGGAACCCCACTGGTGAGAAGGCTGGAAGGGAAGGAAAAATAGCCGCAGCTCCGCAGGCAGAAGTGGGGGGCCAGGGGCCCTGGGAAGCGGCTAGGGGCTGACAAGGGGAGGGTGGTGGCGCCTGCCCGTCTCTGTGCGAGCTCGCTGTGGGCGGTATTGCCCAGCAAGACACATTCTCAAAGCCAGGCCGGGAAGTCAGAGGCAAGGCAGTGAGGACTGCGGGGTGTCCCGGAGGGCTGTGCGGGCCACTGACCGAGCCGCCCTCCACGATGTCCCGCCACAGCGGGCGGTCGGGGGGCTGCTCGGCCAGCTCCAGGAGGTTGTCCAGCACCACCTGGCCGATGAGGTCGTGCCGCGAGAAGCGGTCGAAGTCGTAGACGCTGAAGTGCAGCTTGCGCTGCGCCAGCTCAGCCAGCGGCACGGAGAACTGGAAGGTCTCGTTGAAGACGGGGTTCAGGGTCTTCCTGTGCACCTGCGGGCGAGGAAGGGAGACTATACCCGGCCCACCAGCCTCCTCCCTCAGACCCTCCCCC